AGCTCCATTAACGGAAGAAGGTACATTAATTGTAAACAATGTTGCAGCTTCTTGTTATGCTACAATCAATAGTCACCATGCTGCTCATGCTGTATTAGCACCTATGAGATGGTGGTATAGTTTATTTGGAATGTCACATAAATCAAATGAAGCTATTGGTATTCATTGGTTTCCTAAAATATTGTATGAAATAACATCATTTTTAATACCTTCAATTATTCATAGATGATAAAAAGAGACAATAATTGAAAACATTTTTCTTTGACTTCTGTTGAACTGTTAAAAACGTTAATATTCTATTTTAAACATATTTACTGTATTTGTCAATTTCGCAAAAAACATGAATTAAAATGTTGGGGTGCGTGAAAAAAATGTTTTAAAGCATTCATTAGTATTCTAACAGAGGAGATCATTAGTCCATCATCAATTAAATTGGAATAGTTATGAATCCTGTTATAGATTATGGTCATGTGAGTGCTAGCAAGTAGTGCAAATGTTCTACATTAATTTTCTTTTCAATATAGCATGAAAACAACTCGTGGTAGAGGTTCGATAGTTTTCTTGTTAGAAAAAGCGAAGTCTTTAATACAGAGTTGTGTAAAAATGTTTCGTGAAAAATACAGAATGTACATTTGATCGATTTTTTTTGTACTCGGCTTCGAAAGCTTTTAGGCATGTTATACGCAGGTGTAACTAACACGACACGAATTTTCTAGTCGTATTCGAATATTCGAGCTACAAAACCCCAAATTCCATGGGAAACAGTTTTATAAAACCTTGATTTTTTCTCTACAGTGCCCAGCAAAGTTTTTCTTCATAACATATAATAGAAAACATATGTTCTGTTTTATATCCTGTGCTTTTGTAGAAGGCTCACTAACTGTTAGTGCTGCAAAAAAACTCTTATTTTTCGAAATCACTTAATAGTTGTGAACACTTTTCGCTAGGAAATATCGATTTTGAACTCAACTGTGAGGTTGAAAATTTTATTTTTACCTGTTTATAATGTCCTGTCATGGCACTACAAAAATTGATAAAAGACGGAAAATAAGATCCGTTTTTTTCTAAATTTTGCAAGTGTGCAGAGAACTTTTCCAGTCAAACATTTTCTTAAAACTTTTTAGTCTTCGATAAGTATTGTAAACCAAATGTCTTTTTACAACTTTGCAATCGAGACATTGTTGTTTCAAACAAGAAAACAATGAAGTTCTCAAGGCAAATCATTATTATGTTATATCTAATTGTCTTATTGAAAGAAAATGATTGTTTCTTTTCGTACACCTCGAACAACTCTTCAAGTTGTTGGACGAAAGACTATTTGATTGATGGATGAGTCGAAGTCGCATGGGATAAATTTTTGATAGACGGCAAAAATGATAGTCTCCTGTATACACGAGAAACTAAACTAAGAAACAGTATCATCTCGTTCAAATATTAATTACCTGTCATTGGAAGGGTAATTATATCATTCGTCGACAAATTTTTGTCGACAGGCATTTTCGTCGACAACATTTTGTCGACAATATTTTGTCGACAATTTTTTGTCGACAGATTCTTTTGTCGACAGACATTTCGTCGAAATTATTTTGTCGACCAATAATTTCGTCGACAAATATTTG